ATTACATCTTATACCAAAACTGACCATGGAATAAACTTGAACAACTACGGGCTAAGATAAGTGAGACAAAAACAAATGGGGAAAGAAGAAAACCAGAGAGCCAGGTATGGTAATGCATGCCTGTACTTCTGAGCTCCAGAGGACCACTTGAGCCCAGGAGACTGGGGCCAGCCTGAGTAACATAACGAGACCTTGTGTCAAAACAGAACACAAAAATCCTCACAAGAATATGTAACAAAGTGCCCTAAGAAAGGCATTGATTGTATTCCATAAATACTAATAAGTACCTCAATCAAACAAGCTTGTATCTTGTGTGTGGAATAAAATATAATAAATGTTTTGTCACTTCAAATTTCCTTCAGAATCATATTACAAGCTATTATTCTCATCATGAAATAATAAAGTCTCTACTTTAATAAAAAAAATGACTTCCCAGCTAATTATCTAATTAGATACGTTTAGTTATAGAGACATTTTAATCAAAATGAAATTAATCTCCAAAAGGCAAGATTTTGTCACTTCTAAAGATACATGAATAGGATACAAAGGAAGCATCCTAAGTTCAAAGTAGTAATATCGAATTAATAACTATCTATATGCCAAAATATCTTAGGATATTGGCCCTAAATACGTTATTTCTGCCATACTAAACGCAAATCAACCTATTATTTAATAGTCATACTTTATAACACAGTAATGCCTCTAATTTTTTACATATAATTTATAGATTAAAATTTGGGGGATTACACTCATGAGGAAATGGACAACTGTTACTGGACCTGCCTACCAAACTCCTTCCAGGGTACAGAAGACCAATGATTGAAAACGCTATTCCCAGTCCCTTGCAGCTGAGGATCTCCATGTGACTGGTGAGGGTCTAGATGTGGCAATGAAGTGCATATGCAAGAAATTTAGAACAGAAAAGTAAGGCAGCAGTGACACACAGGCCATGATTCTACTACCCACTTGCTATTTGGGGAGAAGGGGTACTGAGTCAGAATACACATTTATTTCATCTATAAGAGTAATGTATTCTTAAGGCATCAGCTTGGGACCTGTGGGCACAGTTACTAGGGATTTCATAACAGTTCGGGGCAAGGGGGTGTGGAGAGCTTCTTAAAAACATCAAAGGGTAAGAATATAGGAAGGGATTATCTGTCAAAATCTGAAAGATGAAAACAGAGATGTAAAGCAAGCACTCAACATAATTTTTCTCCTTGAAGGCATTTCCCATTCCAGGAAAAAAACCGCTATGAATCTAAGCTATACTTTCAGTGGCCTAAGAAATTCAGAGTACAACCACAAAGATGAGGTGACCATCAAAACTGAGAACACTGAGAAACCACCCATAGTGTAAATGGAGGCAATGGAGGAATGCAACCTCAAGGTAAGAATAAAGTGAAATGAAACTAACCACTCTCTGGAACTTCAGCTGGGCTTTGAATCTCCTTGGGAATCCAAGGAGCCTACTTTGAACTTGGACTGCTACAGTCACAAAATACTAGTACTTACAGTGTGCAGCAGAAAAACACTAAAAATTCTCTGTAGAAAGAACCCATCATTCAAGACTTCAATGAATCAATAAAAACAATGTTTTAAATAATCAATATACACTCCAAGGTAACAAGGCATACAAGTAAACTGAGCATCACAACAAAAAATCAGCATAAGCAACAGATAAGACACAAAGTCATAAGTCAGATACTATAAAACAATAATCTAATTATGTTCAAAGAAGGTAAAAGATAAGAAAAGATAGTAAGCACTGAATTGTATTTTTAAAGGAATAAAATAGAAAATTTATTCTGAAATATAATCAGTGGGTGATTAACTAAAACTTAAGAGAAAGAAAGAAAAACAGGTCAGAAGAAATTATTCAAAAGATGAAAAATATCAAAGAAAAGGTAAGAAACACAAGCTGTATGTATATGTGTGTGTGTATATATATGTATGTATATGTGTGTATATATGTATGTATGTATGAAGTATGCATGTGCTTAATATATACATATGTATGTATGTATATATGTATGTATGTATGTATATAGAAAGCCAGAAGGAAACAATTGTATCAAAACACATGCATCTAAGAAAAACTAAAGAAAATTCAGGAGTGCTATAAAAGGAAAAAATAATAAGATAGAATGAATGAAAGTCTTATCAGAAATAGTCAGATACTGGAATAATACTTTCAATGAGCTGAAAAAATATATAGGCCAAACTAAGAATTTAAAGAAAATTTAAAATGTTTTTCATGAATAAAGTCACTGGCTGTCAAAAAAAAAAAAAAGAGAGAGTTTGTCACAAGCAAATCTCTGTAAGAAATTTCCAGGAACAAATGTAGAGAAAAGAATAAATAAGTGGGGAGAATGGAATCAACAGTGATTGGATAAAGGAATAGCAAGAAAAATGGCCTTGAGAATAACCACTTACTAACTCAGGAGACAGTAAATGGAACTAAAACATTCTAAGTTCCAGTCTGGTAGGGCAGGTAAAAAAATGCTGATTCACATCAAAGTTTGAGCAGTTATGGACGTATATTGTGATGTCTAGGTTCTATCAAAAGGCTGGAAGAAGTATGCATGTGCTTAATAAAATTAAGTGCTACGTACCATAAATACAAGAATAAAAAGGAAAACAAACTGCAGAGATGGGACAAAAACAGAGGGAGGGAAGGAGGGAGGGAGGGAGGGAGGGAGGGAGGGAGAGAGGGAGGGAGAGGGAAGGAGGAAGGAAGGAAGGAAGGAAGGAAGGAAGGAAGGAAGGAAGGAAGGAAGGAAGGAAGGAAGGAAGGAAGGAAGGAAGGAAGGAAGGAAGGTCGGTCTACAAATATATCAGAGTTAACTTTCTATGGAGCAAATGGTCTAGGTAGAAGATAAAGATGATCAAACGTGGCTCAAAACTTATCATTGCTTAAGAGACACATGTAAAATGTCTGAATACAGAATAAAAGGAGGAAGAAAAATACATCATGAGAAAGATAACCATGAAGAAAGAGGCAGAAACCCATCCTCGGCTTGGCCCATTAGATTCCCTCTCACTGGAGTAAGGACAGGATCACTGATGAAACCCATCTCAAGAATCCAAGGACTCAAGGACTGATTAAGATCAAGTATCACAACCCAACCCAAGAATTGCTGTTTCTTGTAGCAGCAGTAAACAGAGGTCCAGAGACAAAGTGGCAGAGCACCTGCTTTGCAAGCATAAAAGCCTGTATTCAAATCCCAGTTTCACCACGCCGCCCCAAAAAAAAATTCAAGCTCTCCTCAGCTTCTACCTGACTCAAATCACTACCACCACCACCACCGTCACCACCTCCTAACCTTCCATCTATCATCCTTCCCCACTAAAAGCCTAATGAAAGAAGAGATGATCCCATTTGGGGACATAAGTATGATTTACCTCTGTCTCTACTGTTAAGTGTCAGTCCACAATCTCCCCACTCCACCTACCCTAGTCTTATGCAACCACTAACGAATTTTCTGCCTCAATAGACCAAATGTGTTTTAGGAATGGTGTATGGGACTAAACAGAATCCCCTCAAAATTCCTGTCCTGTGACTATGACCTTACTTGGAAATAGGGTCTAGTGGATGTAATGAAGATGAGGTCATACTAGAGTAAAGTGGCAATATGACTGGTATCCTTACAGAAAAATTAAATTGTGGGTAGAGATGCACATGGAGAAGTAAGCTAGAGACTAGAGTTGCACTACCAGAAAATACCAAGAACAACAAGGAGTGTTAGCCAACTACCCGAAGCCAGGAAAAGATTCTCTCTTATAGAGCCCACAAAGGAATCAAGCCGATGACACCTGGATGTCAAACTCTGGCATCCTGAGATGTGAGACAATATATTGCTCACAATATATTTACCCTAGCAAACTAAAAGAAATTCCATGAAACTGGAAACAAACTAAATATCTACAGAAATTGAACAGATAAATAAATGCTGACATTTTCATCAAAGAAGCATCATACAAGAGAATACATGAAATAGCATGGTTGAACCACATAAAATAATGTTAAGAAAAGAAGACAGGCACAAAAGAATGAACATTATATGGTCCCATTAATACAAAATTTTTAAAAGAAAAAGGCAAAACTGATCATGCTGCCTAGGTGCATGTAATTCAAAAAGAAGAACTACATGGAAACACAAGCAGGTGTTAAGAATACAGTAAGAACAGGAGACAGCTCTAGAGAAGCAGGAGAATAATAATGGGGGGGCGGGGTAGGCAAGAGAGGAGAAGGGAGGGAAAAGAAGAGGAGACAAACTAGGTAAAGAATGCTGGCACTGTCATACTTCTAGACTCAGTTGATAGTTACATGGACTTTTTGCTTTATAATAATTTGTTCAACAATACACCTGTGCTCTGTTTTTTTCTAAACGTGTATAGTTCACAATTTAAATAAAAGAAAAAAAAGGCAGAGCATGGAAATAAAGCCACCTGTTATAGCACCAGTGGCCTCTTGGAATCTTGGCTGGAAGTAAGGAAACATACCCTTCAAGCCCTAGGACAGAAGCACCCACTAAATTTCCAACTGTGGCAGAGACAGCAGCCATTCCTGGAGAAGCCTGGCTGAGCTGCAGAAGTCACTCCCAGAAGTTCAGTCTAGGTTGTTCCCTTCTCTCCTCCATTCCTTTAGAAGATTTTGTAAGTACTTAATTCCTTTCTGTTTATAGTATCTAGACTAATTTCTCCTAGTAGCCCATGATCCCTCAAAAATACACCTCATCCTGAAAGGTTCAAGACAAAATCAAAGGAGAATTTCCAACATGAAGTATTATCAGTGACAAAGCAGAAGAGCAAGACTCTGACCTTTTAATTAACGTATATTTATCTCTCCCTCTTCACAGATGTCTTAGTACAAGTCTAAAACCTAAATCTTTACTTAAGTTTTGGGAACTGATTTTTAAAATCTTTATAAAACAAAAAAGGGTGGGTGAGGAAAGTTGAAGTATAGAGGTTTGGAGAAGAATAAAAACAGTTGTGGTTACCTGGAGTCTTGTATTCATTTCCAAGAAGTAAAAATTCTTCTTGGAGTCCACAAGGAACTCCACAGTTCCAGCAGAGGAATACCGTACTGCTTTGGCGAGAGCTACAGCTTGTTCACCCATCGCTCTACGAGTCTCGGGATCCAAGAAAGTGCTGCAAATACAGAAAGTACTCATCTGCACTTGGAACAAAAATCAAATTACTTTTTATGTGCACTACATAAAAATCTTACTCAGATATAGATCATCCAGATCACTGTGAGTTCATGGCTTTATGGTTTATAATATATACTTACTGCATCATGCACAACAGGCTTGAACAAATAACTTCAATTTTTATAAATTATTTGAACTTTCACATTACACCACAACTTTAATCTATTTACCAATCTATTTACTCTTTAACTAGTAAAAAGTTAATATATATTCAGAGTTGCTTCGAGCTACAACTGAAAAAAATCACTTCTTAAAAACTGACATATACATTATTCATGGATTCTATATTTGCAAATTTGCCAACTTGTTAAAATTTATGTGAAATCTCAAAAATCAATATTTGCAGCACCTATAAAGGTCATTTATAAACAAGCACAAAGATGGAGAAACTGTCAATATGCTGAGGTTGAACAAGGTGATCCTCTGCCTTCCTGCTTAGCATTCAACCAGTGTCTTTTTCGAGGTCTTGTGTGTGTGTGTGTGTGTGTGTGTGTGTGTGTGAGAGAGAGAGAGAGAGAGAGAGAAGAGAGAGAGATTTCACTTTTTAACATGGCCCTGAGCATTAAGCATAAGTGCTGTTTGATGTTTCTAAGATTTAAAAGGCCGTGAAGTACCTTATGAAGAAAACCTATGTGTGAAACAATCTTCACTAAAGGAATGTATAATGGTGTTGCTGGTCAAGACTATGAGCTCAGTGTTGATGAATAAATATTAAATAATGTGCTTTTCAACAGAAACATATAGAAAACAAGGTTATATAACAATCAAGCACATAAAATGTACTCTTATGACCACAGGCCTGCAGAAACCTAACCCTGTACTTCCCCTAGAGAAAAATAGTTCAGTATTCACTACTGCAGTATTTATGATATATTTATAGAATATAACTTCTACAAATAAAAATGGACTATGCAGCTAACAAACCCTAACACTTCTGTTTCAAAATATCCAAATCATTTTCCAATAGGAAATAATGCTAAAATGTTTTCAACAAATCCTGAAAAAATATCAAATAGCCTGCATCTTCAGACTTTGCTTCTACACAAGAAAGTCTCTGGGAAATGAAACAGTAACTACTTTTCTAAAAAAATTATTCTCAAATAAGAGTTAAATGACACTTTGTAGAATGTTTATTATGGAACAGTATACTTGCATTTACCTTTCTCCAATATGTACAATAATCATTAAAACTCTTAATTTATTCATGCTATGCATCTACTTGTCTATCAGGGTTACTCATTTTTGTAACAGCAAATTAGGTATTATTTCATTTATAAAACCTCTCATATCTGTTTCTGTGAGATAAGTAGTCTTTTGGGGGTTTTTTGGTTTTTGGTTTTTTTTTTTATTCATATGTGCATACAATGCTTGGGTCATTTCTCCCCCCTGCCCCCATCCCCTCCCTTACCCTGCAGAAACTATTTTGCCCTTATGTGAGATAAGTAGTCTTTTGTAATACAGCCATACTTTAAAAATTAACAAGAACTCCTTAACAGCCAGTCAGTATTTCATTAATACCCAGTCAGTATTCAAATTCCCAATTATCTCACAAATATCTTTATATAGCTGATTTGAGTCAGGATCCAAATAAGGTACAGACAACAGCATCTGATTGTTTTTTTTTATTTTAAAATTCTTTTAATTTGTAATGTCCTCTCCCCACTTTTGCAGCAAAGGACCTGGTCATTTTCTGACTCATTCCTTACATTTTGAGGTCAGCTGCATGCAACCCTATAGTGTCTTTTAACACTAATATTATGTTTTGGTACTATAGAAACTGCTACTTAGCTCTAGAACACTGTAATAGAGTCATCTGCATTAGGGTGGAGGTGGGCAAGAACATAAGTGGGAAATACACTACCTCCCACATCCAACAGTCCTCTCTCTTGGTTAAGACTAATCAACGGGTTCTGGTGTCATCAATCTTACTTATCATAAATATAGCCCTGCACTAACCTAATAAATATAGGTATAGATTACATTTCAGCAATAACTGACAAAACTAAAGCAACCAAAAGGAAGAAAACCACACTAATTCATTAATATTATGGCACTTGGAGAATTTCAGTGCAGTTGAGTATCCTGATCTTACCCTTTATCTTACCATAAACTCTACCTAGTGATTCTCAGAAATAATAGCAACCTTAGCACTGTCCACAAAGCACGGAGGTAGATACTTAGGATCTGAAAACTAATTTAGAGGCCACTTATTTGAACATTTCACAGTGAAAAAATACTTATCAAGTCATTATTAACAATTAAGCCTACTTTTTTTCATTTTGATTCTTATTGCTTTAAATTTCCTTTCCTCTAAATTCATAGGATGAGATGTTCATTTTTTTTTTAAATAACATTTCTAGACAGTGAAAAAAAAACACAATCATGATGCAAGGTTCTCAGTCTGTGAAAGATTTCTATGCCAGGTAAGAATTGAGTAAGTTTTAAACAAAAAAAGAAAGTTAATTGAATTGGAAGTGATAAAGCAGATTAAAAAAAAAAAAGCACAAAAGAATCATGTCAGAGACTACTGCTATTCTACAGAATCCTTTCTCCACTTCATCTATACTATTGGACTTTCAGCTGAGCACATGGTCACTGAAGAAAAACAAGACTTTTCCAAGTCTGCCAGATAAGTGCCTCACTCAGATAGAAGCCAAGTAATCCTAACTAGCGCTTACAGGAGCCTCCCTTAGAACACTGGGGGGAGTGGGGGAAAGAGGGAGAAGACACACACACGACAGAGAGACTATTTCCTCGTCTTTTCTTCTTCCTTCATATGTTCTTATGTCCTAGCCCTAGGCCATAAGACACAGAAGGTCACATTACATGTCAGAGTATCACAGCATGGTGGCTGGTTTATAAAAGTAGATAGCCCAAGAGACAGGAAGCAGAATGTGGGCGCTTCATAAGCCCTGGACAACAAACTGGTACAACACTACTTCTAGTTTTCTATTGGTCAAATAGCCAACAGGTCACAGAATCAAGTGGAGGTGAGACAGTTCCTTCCCCTCATCACTCAATGACAACAGTGTCCAAGGATTTTTGGACATGTCTGAAAACTACTATACCATACCATGACTTTTAAAACTAGTATTACCAAAATAGAGTTTAATTTTTAAGATTACCCTATGATTAAAAATTCACTCAAATTCACATCTACTCTTTTCAGAAACTACATTGTATCAAGGTATGCTGACTATGCTACTTAAAACTACAATTGGATACATTTTTAGTGCCTGATAATTCAAAACAACTATGTACACTCAACTAGGGATTTTTACAAACAAGAGAATACCAAAATATATATAAATACCAACTTGAACATAAGGCTCCATCAAATTGCCACACAAAACACATGAAAGGTGACCTAAATAAGTACGAAAGTGGCTCTGATAAATTAAGGGATTTTCAAGAACTATGCCTCAGAAGTCCTTCAAGGTAGGAAAAATTCAGAATCAGTTTGATGAAACCACCAAAACATGAGAACCTGGAAGGTATATATTCCAGAAACTGCATGAAACACCAGCAGATTCTACACTACCTATAAGCCTATACAAGTCAGTTTATTGTCTACCTAACTTCTTCTAATCAACACCCACTTATTTTGCAAGTACTCTCTCAGTTTTATGTACTAACATACTGAGGAAGATCAATTAACAAATTCTTAACTATAAAAACAGACATTAATAGAGTCTATATTGAAGTTAATTTGGCCAATAAAATGAAAAAGAAATCTAGAAACTAGATAAAAGCAAGTTATCTTATAAATTTTCACTGGAAGATACTCTTACCTTGGTGCTTCCTCCACCACCTTCTGATTTCTTCTCTGAATTGAGCACTCTCTTTCATTAATCCACAAAGCATTTCCATGTTTATCACCTAAAACCTAAGAGTAGTATCATGTCAAAAACCTGAGTATGTACCCAGCTAACATTTTCCCTCAAGCAACTTCTCTTGGTTTGTACTACTCAAACCTCACCAAACAAACACACCTCTCAACACATTCTTTAAGTTGATGTTAACAGAGAAAAGCTATATTTATAATTCAAAAATTCAGTAAGGTATTTTTAGCAAAAATATTTGAGGAAAAGAATCTCATGATACATTCCAAGTACAATGGGTAAAATATCAGAATCCATTGCACATATTTTGTGAAGGACACACTGAATGTCAATAAAGGGATCCTGCATATTGGCTGTCAATGGTACTTGGGGGGGGGGCACCACAGCGTTATCACAAACACATGTTTGTTGTTATCTTTATTAAATATTTGTTGATCAGAAGTGATAGTCTATGCATTTACATCCAATATGGAGCCTGTAGTTTATATGTTGATATCTTTACTGTGTTTTAGTTTTAGGAAACTGGTTTGTTTTTTTCTAGAGTCTGGGGTTAACTATAACACATTATGATTTTTTCACATCTGTTGTAATGAGTAATAAGCTAGGACTGCCAGACAAAATATAACTCAGTTAAACTTGAATTATTTGAATAGTTACTTGTGTATTTCTGAACATATATATGAAGTTCACAGAGGCAAGATCTGTTTTAGAAGCCATAAGATAAAGCACTAATTTTAGCTCCAAATGGCTATTCACCCTCCCTGGGCAAGCATTCTGTTTCTTTATGGATTATAAACAGCAGATAATATCATCTTAATATTTTATATGGCTGATGAAAAAAAATCAGAGAAGATCAAGGTTATATCAGATATAACAAACTATAAAATGAATAGCTAGCCAGGGGTGGTGGCTCACTCCTATAATACCAGCTATCAGAAGGCAAAGATAGGAGGATCTTGGTTTGAGGCCAGCCTGGACAAAGTTAGCATGAGACCCTATCTAAAAACACAAATAAAAAGTAAAAGGACTGGGGCTGAGGCTCAAGTGGTACAGCACAAATATGAGTTCAGTTCACAGTACCCCAAAAAATAAGTAAATAAAAATTTAAAATAAAATAATTAATATATGATTGCAACATTAATTTTTAAAATAAAAGCATCTAAAACTGAAGAATGACTCCAAGTAATGGAGAAAAATGTTACTCAAAAGTGGCTGTGTGAGGGACATCTAAAATTATTTAAATTATTAATATAACTTTCAAGCTTGTTTTTAAATTCTATTTGTCAAATAAATGAAAGTAAAATTAGTCTCCAAAAAATAAAGTAAAATACCCAGGAATTCTCAGAAATATTTCCAATTAAGAATACCAAATACATATATAGAATCAAGAGTTTGTTTTTCTCCAAATTCTGTATAGACTCTTAATTCACTTTAAAAAGTTTGAGGCACTAGTTAAGCATTCAAAAAATGATCTGATGATATATTGGTAAAAAATTATAAATGCTTAAGGGAGGTTAATTCTTAAACACACAGTGATCTGTTTTTTCTTTTTTTTTTTTTTTAACGGGGTGGGGGGCAGTACTGGGGTTTGAACTCAGGGCCTCATGCTTGCTAGGCGAGCACTCCATCACTTGAGTCACTCCACCAGCCCCCTGCTTTTGATTTTTAATGCAGTCCTTTATTGATATACATCTGTTGAATGTGGAAAAAGGCATGCTACTTCCTGAAAAAAGTTCACAATAATAGACTGCTCCACACAATCAAGCCCTCAGGACCCCTGAACCCAGCCCAGGAAATGCCAGTAGTTAGTTGTCTGACTGGAAACACAGAGTGGGTATAAACACAGAGTGGGATCATTCATGTTGACAGTACAGTTTCAATATGGAAAAGGACACAGTATGTGACAGCCCATGTGAAAACTAGCAGGTGATTTATACATAGATACCTTATAGACTGTGGATGGACATTCAAAGAATAGCAACAGAGAATGCATCTAGGAACAGAAAATGGAACTTGGAGACAAGGTAAAAGGGAAGATTGCTTTTTGTTTAACAGTCTTTATCATATGCACAAGTTATCTAATAGAAATAAAGGAATATAGAAGAAAAATAAGCAAATGATGTTAAAATGCCTTCCAAGTGTAGATCAGATATGGGAAACATCTGTGTTGCCCATTTAAGCTAGTAAGAGATATTTTCACCTGTTTAAAAATATCACCCAGATATTTTTAATATCTGGCTGGGCACTGGTGGCTTACATCTGTAATCCTAGGTACTTGGAAGGCTAAATGAGGAGATCACATTTAGAGGCCAGCCTGGGCAGGGGTTCACAAGACCCATCTCAACCAATAGCTTGTGGCATGTGCCTGTCATCCCAAGCTATGCAGGAGGTTGCGATCAGGAGGATCCCAGTGCCAGGCAAGCCCATGGAAAAAAGCTCCCAAGACCCTATCTCAATGGAAAAAAAATTGGGCATGGTGGTATACACGTATCACCTAGTGACAGCAAGAAGCTTAAAACAGGAGGATCACAGGCAAAAAAGCAAGCCCCTATCTCCAAAATATCCAGAGCAAAATGAACTGGAGGTGTGGCTCAAGTGGTAGAGCACCTGCCTAGCAAGAGCAAAGCCTTGAGTTCAAACCATAGTACCACTGAAAAATAAAATCACCCAGACTATATGCCATGGCTAATTAAGATCAACTAAAAAAGCCAATGTACACATAATTCCTTAACACATACAAACATTTACGGAGCATTAGTTTGTGATCCTCACACCAAACAAACAAAACAGTCATTCCAGGAGAGTAATATATATGTATCACATCTAAAACAACAGAACTCAAACTCCAAGCCAGGCATAGTGGCACCCCCACCCACACACCCACAGTCACAGCAAACGAGAAGAGAGAGCAGGATTATGAGTTCAAAGTCAGCCGGACTCCAAGAAATTACACTGTTCTTCAAAGTGAATAGGCAAGCCACAGAAAAAAGAAAAGGAAACCATGTATCTGAAAAAGGACTCATAAGCAAAATATACATAAAATTCAGAACACTCAATTTTTAAACATCTAATTTGAAAAGAGAGGCAAGGATGAAACTATCCAAATGGTTGATATCTTATGAAAAGGTGCTCAACATCAATACTCGTCAGGGAAATCCAAATCAAAGTGATACAGTCACATGTCCACCAAAAGGGCTACACATTTTAAAAACTTGAAAATCCTGAGTGTTGAGCAGGATAGCAACAACAGAAACTCTCATGTTTCTGGGAGAATGTATTAATATAACCACAATATCTCTTGAAACTGTAATATTACTATGTAGCTCAACAATCTCTCTCCTCAGTATATCCCCTTAAAATTTATATATCCACAAAAAGATGGCAGGTTATTCTTAATTTTTTTTAAATGGAAAGAACCCAAGGATCCATCCTCAGAAAATGGATAAGTTAAGGGTTATTCAAACAATGGAACAACATGGTATAATTTTTTTTTTTAACAAAAAAGAGCAATGCTGGAGGTATCACAATACCTGACTTCAAATTATGTGACAGGGCCATAGTAATAAAAACAACCTGGTCCTGGCACAAAAATAGACATGTAGAACAAAGGAACAGAAGATTCATAAATAACCCACACAGTTAATAGTCATCTGATTTTCAACAAAGGAGTCAAAAACACTCATTGGAAATAAGATAGCCTGTTCAAGAAATGGTGCTGGGGAAAGTTGAGGTCCATATGTGGAAGACTGAATGAAATTAGATCCCTATTTCTCACCCTGTACAAAATAAAATAAAAATGATTACAGATCTTAATGTAAGATCTGAAACTTTGAAACTAGTACAGAAAAATATAGGGAAAACACTTGGAGATACAGGCACAGGCAGTATCTTTCTTAATAGAAGTCCAATTGCTCAGGAAATAAGAGCAAGAATTGACAAATGAGATAACATGAAATTAAAAAGCGTCTGCACAGCAAAGGAAACAATCATCAGAAGGAAGAGACAACCTACACAGAATGGGACAAAATCCTTGCCAGCTATTCATCAGATAAAGGAATAATGTCCTCAACATATGAAGAGCTCAAAAAATTAAACACCAAGAGAACAAATGATCCAATTAAAAAGTTCTCAAAAGAACAAATACAAATGGCCAACAAACACAACATGAAGAATGTTCAACATCCCTAGCCATAAAGGACATGCAAATCAAAACTACACTGAGATTCCATCTCCTTCCCAGTCAGAACAGCAACCATCAAGAAACAACCAATAACAAATGCTGGTGAGGATGCAGGGGTAGGGGAGAGGGTGGAAGGACATTATATACACGCATGGAAATATCACAGTGAAACCCCCTTATGTAATCAATATACACTAATAAAAAAGAATCTCAATAAAATGATGCTGTATATAAATAAAAAGCCAAACAAATATATGACTGCATTTACATGAAGGTTGGTGTTTTTGTTTGTTTGATGGTTTTTCTGTGGCACTAATAATCTCACCCAGGGACCTCACACATCCTGATCAACACTCCCAGTCCCATTACATAGTTTTTTCTGTTCTTCAACTTCACACAGAGCTTGGGACAGAGCTGAGTGATAGAGACTAGCATGCAGGAGACTCTGGGTTCAATCCCCAGCACCAAAATAGAAAAAAGAAAAAAAACAAAAAAAAAAAAAACACACCTAACCTATGTTAGATGTCACAATGCAGTTACTTGTACTAGGCAAGGAAAGGAATCAACAGGAAAAAGTGTGATACCATGAGGAATCTTTTTTTCTTTTTTCTTAGCATATATTCATTGTACAGGGGGATTTGCTGTGACAATTCCAAATAGTCTTTCATTATACATTGTTTAGATTGGCCCCATCTTCCTCCTGCTACCCCCTCCCGTTATCCCCTCCCCGACCCACTTAAAGTAACTGCAAGAGGTTTTATCTTTCTGTTTCCTACATGTATATGAAGCCCATCCATCATATTCATGAAGGAATCTTTTGATTTAATAGAAATACTTCATATCTAGATAATCATTACACATTTATATGTGTATAAAATTTTTATTGAATTGTCAGTTAAGTTTTTTTATTTCACTGTTTATACATGATATCTCAAGTTAGAAAAATCTAAAAACAGTAACACAACAAAAACAAAACCTGCTAGCCTCAAAAATATCTTATGTTCAACATTTCAAAACTACCAACTATGTTTCCACACTTATTCATACTTATTCCTACTCCAGAAAGTTTGAAAATCTACATGAAGATTTTCTACATGTAGATAATATATATATATATATATATATATATATATATATATATACTCATTAAACTTAAGAAAAAGTGACCAAACACAAGACTATGTTATATTGTATTCCCAACAAAAGGGACAATGTCAGCAAATGAACTTTTATTTAGTTTTCTGGTTCTCTATCCCATCAAATTAAGATAAAAACATAAATAAAATTCAATAGTTTCTAATTTGATATCCATACTCTATCAGTTTTAAGTGTTACGTATCAATTTATGGTCATACCTGTTAAAATTAGCAGGAAGGATTTCTGACAGACAAGTGAAAACAGCAGAGACAAGTGAAAATAGCGAACAGGTTGTCTTTTACAGTTCAGAAAACCTGCTTTGTTTTGCTGAAATACACACCCCACAACAACTTTAACAACCAGATTACATATTAATTTGAACAGAAGATATGATTTATTCATATCTACATAACTTCTTTTTTTTTGGAGGAGGGACCCACTGGGGTTTAAACTCAGGGCCTCACACTTGCTAGGCAGGCACTCTTACCACTTGAGCCACTCTGCCAGCCAATAACCTGTTTTTAACAGAACTCTTGTCACAGCAAAGTACAGACATTTGGAGAATTGAAATAATACAGGAGTCCAGGTCAGAATTTCTTTCTTTCTTTTTAATTTTTTTTTTAAAACAATGCCCCAAAATGGCTCAGTCCCAGAAGACATTGAATGATTCTGTAGATAGATTACATTTAGCCTAGCCAGACATCTTAAGACTGCTTCTTATTTGGAGGTAGGTTTTTACATAACTCCCACCCAAATCAATATCTTAGCACTTTGATTAAAAACAAATACCAGAATCCAAAAGCAGGTGATCAACTTATTTTGGACTTATTTAAACATACTAAAATAAATTGCAATCCTTCTATATGGAAGAAAGGGTATGTTTTCCAGTAAGATTAAATGATACTATCTATAAATCATGCTGGGCACTGGTATCTCACACCCATAATCCTAGCTCCTCAGGTGGCAGACAGCAAGAGGATCACAGTTCAAAGACAGCCCAGGCAAACAGTTGCCAAGACCTATCTTGAAAAAAATCCTTCACAAAAAAGGGCTGGTGGAGTGGCTCAAGGTGTAGGCCCTGCGTTCAAGCCCTAGTACCAAAAAAAAACAAAAGTTCATTGTGAGACCCTATCTTGAAAAAAACCCATCACAAAAAAGGACTTGTGGAGTGACTCAAGGTGTAGATCCTGAGTTCAAACCCCAGGACCATATTAAATAAATAAACAAACAAACAAAGTTCATAATAATTAGAAAGCATCTTAAAATATACCAACCTGTATTTCTATATGACGAGGGTTATCAATAAATTTTTCTATTAGTAATCTATCATCACCAAAACTAGAAGCAGCTTCTTGAGATGACAATCTAAAACCATCCCTGTAAAAGCATAAAGAACAAGAGACTAATGAAACAAAAACAATTCAATATTTACCTCAGCTTGCTTCATAACAAAGCAGAAAAATATTTACTCAATGCAAAGATAACTTTAATTTTTTTTCTTTTATTTATATGTGCATACAATATTTGAGTCATTTCTCCCCCCTGCCCCCACACCCTGGCAGAAACTATTTTGCCCTTATCTCTAATTTTGTTGAAGAGAGTATAAGCAATAATAGGAAGAGCCAAGGGTTTTTGCTAGTTGAGATAAGGATTGCTATACAGGGAGTTGACTTGCATTGCTTTCCTGTGCATGTGTGTCAAAGATAACTTTAATTGAACTGAAATTCTTCCACTTACTAACTCTGTGACTTTGCATATGTCATTTAACTTCCTTGATTAGAGATTTTCTATTGAAACAGGAATGTTGGTACTGGTTTCACCAATTTTAAATACCACTAACAAAACAGTATACAATAGCATATCCATTTGACTCAGAAGTTAGAAAATGCAAACAAAAACGTACTTATCCTAGCTAAGTGCACAACTGGTGCAAAACAAAAGCAAATGCAATTGTCAAGATTGAAAATACAGTACAAAGATTCTTAAGAGCATCTCCTGTCACTTTAAATTATACATCTTGAAATGCATTTGTTTCCCACATACCCACATAGGTCACTACAATTTTATCTTCTTTAAAATTGATCAAAATATTTAAAAGAACAGTTTTTGAAAATAAAAATATGGATTTAATTATTGCTTTCTATATTTTATTCCTAAACTAATGTACAGCATTATTATTAAAATAGATTTACTAAATTAATAAAAAATGGGGCTTATTTGGCCAGACCATTACTCAAACTGAAAAGTAACTGAAAATTTTGTTATCCACTTATTGGTATATTCAGAATATAGAATCTAATTCCTTTACTTCTAATAAACAGTTCATCTTCAGACTAAATACTTGTATTTAACCTAAAATATTAAAGCCAGTTTCTTCTAATCCTTTAAAGTGCAAACAGTCCATCTGGCAATATTAAAAATAATGATCTCATATGTTTGTTTATGTGCCTGAAACATGTAACACTGCAGGCAAACACTGAGTAGAGGACAAATTTCAAATTGTTACAGAAATCTCCTATTTCTGCTCCCTCAGAGAAAAGGTATTAGGTTTTCTTAGTCTTCCATTACATCTTTGATTTAGGGAAATGGAGTTTGACTCTCAGGAGACTGAAAATTTCAAAGAAACTAGAAGTATAATGAATCACTGTTTTCAATACCATATAACCAACTTTTTATTGCATGGGATATTATAATTCACAAAGACAAAAACAGAACTTTACAGTTTGTCTCTGCTGTAGTGATTAAAAGCTTTCATTTGTCTTTTAAGCCAAGAACACCAGAAATAAAAAAATCAAAGTCAGCAAACTAAAAAGGTATCATCTGAAAATGTGACAGGCATGTTTTAGAGCTATAGGAAACTGTATCCTTTGAGGCTGGGGGTGCAGCTCAGTGGCAGAGCACATACTTAGCATGTGCAAGGCCCCGGGTTCAATCTCCAGCACCAAAAACGAAGCAAAACAAAACCTATCATTGCATTCAATTGTACATTCATTCAAAAATAATTACTCATCACCAAACTAAGCTTAGGTACTGGGAATACAAAAATAGAACAGAAATTGCCCTCACAGTGCCTAAAGTCTACTGCAGATATTCAAACACACAGACATGATCAATTCCATTCAATTAATATATTTCACTTAAATTTGGAGAGAAAAGACCAGAGATTATTATGAAAATATGCAAAGTCCAAATCTAACAAATTTCATAATTCTCATCTCAACATATAACATCAAACATTCTTTTTAAAATCTTTCCAATATAGTAAACATTCCAATACAAGGTGCTGATGTTCCTTTCCTAAAAAGCTAAGCAAAAATGTCACAAGAGGTAAACACTCCTTAGGATGAAAGATAAAGCATTAATGGCTACTAAAGTTTATACTGCATCCAAAGAATACTAACATGCTGTTACAAAAAGAAATTGTACATTTCATTCTTAAGAGGGAAAGAGGAAAGGAAGGAGTGGTTAAGGTGTAGCGTGATATTTACAGTTAGTGGTTATAGAATACAACATATGTGAGCTCATTGGACTGTTCTCTTAACTCTTCCATAGTTCTGATTTTCCAAAATAAATAAGGGATATAGAATAACTTTTTTAAAACAAAGAGCATGTATCATTAAATCTAATAGTGTCACACTTTTGTTAATCTAAACAAAGTTTCAGAGACAGTTAACCAAGCTGAAGACAGTAATATTTTAGGTAGAAATTTATCTATTTTTTATTAACCAAAGAACATATTTTTAATCAATGTGCCATTTACTTGCCAAGAAAAGGTTAAGTTATTTACTAAAGGATGACATCTAAATGAGTATAATGACTTTGAAAATACTAAACTGTAAATTAAAATTTAAAGTTCAAAAACAGCATAGCAAGTCACAATGCCAAGAGACTGTGAAGGATAATTCCTCCATTAAAAAAGTTATCGGCCACTTTCAGTGAAAATGCTATATAAGTATCATGCAAAAGGGAAAAACAAGGAGAAAAAATAAAGTTCACATAATATACATCTTTTACAAAACCACTAAGTTGAACTCAGTATCTTTATTATTTCATTCTTTCCTAGGAAGCACCTGTATGTAGCATGATGTCTTTCCAAAAATGGCCACAAAAGTATCTCCTATTTTGTGTTCTGTTTTGAGAAATGTGTCAAGTCTTTGAGAAGAAGTAAAATCCCACTCCCCTCTCCTTGAATTAGAGAAGTTTGTTCTCCCTGGTAATCAAAAGGAAATGGTGGAGGGGAACCTGTGCAACTTCTAAGACTGGGTCATAAAAAGCAATACAGCTTCCACTTGGATTTGAAACAACTGATCTAGGAGTTCTGGATCCCCTTATATTAAGTCCAAAACCACCATACTTCAAGGAAGCTCAAGCCACCCAAAGAAAGGTACCCTGGCTCATACGGGTTACAAATTAAAAACAAGACACAGTCTCAAATCTGAACTTTGATAGATAAAATGTCAAATAAAACAATGAGGTCAAAATGGGACAAAGCATCTCTCTTCCCCTTCTACTTGTTTCCACCCACGCAGACACCAGTCAGCCCAACTCCAAACATTTCTCATAGTTAACCAGTGCTCTAAGACAATCTACAAAGCCAGGCTGAGAGAGTTCCAGACAGACCACACGAACACGATCAATTAAGCATTCTCTAGTTACGGAAATAAAAGCCTACACTGTGACCTTAACCTCTCAGCATTTCCTCAGAAATTTTCAAGTAAAGCTGAGTTGCATCATAGATACTTAACTGATAGAAATTCAACACTAAGACCAAATAGATCACAAGAAAAAAAAAAAGGTGCCTACACATCATGCTTAAACACTTCCACTCTATATTCACTCATTTAGTGATGTTTGTCTCTACTTTCAGAATTGAATTCTTTCCTACCACCTCCACCTTATCATACTGGTGACAGCAACCATCAGCATTTTTCTTGCATAGATTATTGCAACAGCCTCTGATTTCCCTGACTCCAGAGCTCATGATTCTTCACCCCTTCATTGTTACCAAGATAGCATCTAGATGAACCTTATAGAACTGAAGTCACAAAATCTTGGTAAGTGGCTAATCTGGATGATACACACATAAAAATTCATTGTATTCTTCTACTTTTTATTTATTTGAATGTTAAAATTTTTAAAGTTATATATATAATGTCAGGAATTTGTTTCAAGTTCCATGATTGCCTTCTCTACTCAAAACCCTCCGATAGCTCCCCATCTCACTGTGTAGGGCCTTCAGCAGCCTACATAATCTACCTCCACCCCAGTCAAAATGCCTCTGACTCATTTACTACTCTTCCTTCCTTCCATCACCGGGCCACTGTATGTTCCTGGAGCACTCCCAATGCTCATGCATGAGGACCCCTGTGCTTACTTCCCCACTTCCGGGCCCTAATTTCCTTCTTGCACGCTGACCTCCTCACTCCAACATTATCTTCTCAGTGAGGACAACTCTGGCACTCCTGTTTTCAAGAGGAATTCGCTCCAGCACTCCTCCTGTCTCTCCTCCTCTAATTCTCCTTATACTACCCTCTAATCTTTCATAGACTTCATTTTCATTTTTACTGATTTGCTCCCACCATATCAGGATTCCCAACCTTGTGTATGCCATGAGTCCCTTTGCCAAATGATGCAGCTTATGAATTTCTGCTAAAATAAGGATTAAAGTGCAATAAAATGCATGGACAGCAGGGTGTGGTGACATGTGCCTGTATAGTAATAGCTACTCAGGAGGCTGAGGCAGAAGGATCATTTGAGCCCAAGAGTTCAGGGCCATCCTGGGCAACAAAGCAAGACCCTGTATCTTAAAAACTTAATAAGCAGGCTGACGGTTTAGCTTACAAGTAGAGTGCTTACCTAGCAAAAGCATGGTCCTGGGTTTGATCACTAACACAGCAAATAAATAAATCATTACATAGAAAATGATTTTAAAGTTTTTAAATGCAGAGGATTAGATCAAGGAGACAAATTATATTGAAATAAACCTCAAAGTATTTGTCAAAAGCATTCAGGATATAACACATATGGTTCTCTACTTAATAAGGTCCAAAAACAGGTCTAATAATCATTATAATTTAGAGATATCTATTAACACCATAATGGAATAACAAAATATATGTGATTTTATAATAGTGAAAAGCTCCACAGATACTACTATTACTTTGGTTTGTTGCTACACTGGAGGAAACACTAAAATGCCAGGTATAGGCTCATAAGAATATGTGTATGTTTTATTCATCCACATTCATGAACTGTCCCTGAATTAAAAGTTAAGAATCTAGAATATAAATTGGATTGGATTACTGGGTTATTTCCTGGTTTTATTCTTTACTATATCCCTGCACCAAGCTAAAACAATGCCTTGCAAACAACAGGTTCTCAACAAATATAGCTAATACATGATTCTTCTTACTAGCTAGATGGGAGAGGAGAATCTGTTGTTACTCAGTCGATATCTGGTACCAGTGCCACTGTGAAAGTGAGGCTTTTGTTTAAAGACCTCAACACATCAGCCACATTCCTTCTCTGATGTCAACCAAAGGAACAATGGTCTTCTAAGCCAAACAAGGTCTTAAAGGAGAACATACTGCCTTCGAGAGATTTTCACCCTCTTGCTCACTGCAGAGCCTAATTTCTGAGTAAGGTTTGGACTCCACTGTCCTGGATTACTTTCACACTTAGTAATCCAGATTTACATCCCTGAGAGATTTAAGAGCCAAGCAACTGGGGAAGGAAATAAGGAGAGAAAAAGAAAGCAGAATTAGTCATTTAGAAGACCAGATTACTTCTGGATGAAGAAAGGGCAGGAAAGACAACATTAACAATAAAATAATAATTCTGTGATTTTTTTCATTCTCCCGTCTCCAAAAACAACATGAATCTTTCCTGCTGCTAAATCTGAAAATAAAGAATACAAATGTGAACAGTGTTTCCTAAAGCCTGCTTATACTAGGTACTTTCTTGAACAACTCTTTCTAATTCTTTCGAAGTAACGACATAATCATGCATTAAGTTTTGGTTTTTTTTTTTTTTAATTATCTTAAAATGCTACTTTTAGCTAGGTATGGTGGTACACGTCTTTATTTCCAGCCCTCAGGAGATTAAGGCAGGAAGATAATAACAACAAAAAAGATACTTTTGATTTCTAAAACTAGTAAAAAGAACACATAAATTTACAACAGAGTGCATTTTATATAAAGGACACAGTAATTTTAAAATCAGAAGAAGAAGAATATATTTCACACTATAAAATTATCAAAGTAATTCCCTACTTTTATACACTAGCAAAAAAAAGGCAAATATATATTTAATTAACACATAAATTCTCAATGAAATTACAACTGATCTGAAATCTGGTTCAAATCTTTAGACAACATTCTGAATTAGACTGGCAAATGCTGGTAATTTCTGCCTCGAAAATAGAACCGTAACTGTAATTTTTTAAAAATACACTATAAAAACAAAATGAAAAATTCACTGTAAAACCCTTTCTATAATAGGATAACCATCATCAAAATATGGATTTGGAAGGTTTTTGCATAGTATGGATTTTTCTCCCACAGGATTTTACTCTTTTGTGAGATGGTTATTATAATTACTCCATTATGCTTTTGGTATCTATTTACTTGTCAGTTTAATAAAACTCTGGTAACTGCGATTTTCATCAAAAGTATATTTTGGACAGCCTCTCACCTGGTCTCTTCATCATTCCAAGCGATGCGCATGCCTTTCCCACCACCACCTGCTGAGGCCTTGATCATGACAGGGTAGCCTAACAGCAGGGAAGAATGAGACTGAAGTTCAGACTTTGATCATTTGGATGTATGAACATGACAACTGACCACATGTTCAGTAACACAGTAGACAATAATTTATTTAAAAGTTCCTTTCCTTAGAATCAGAAAAAAAAGTCACCAGTGTAATGATAATATATATTGTTTTTAAATGAAAAGGCTACTTGTGTCCAAAAATATATTTTATATTTTCCCAGTAATAAAATAAAAACTAAGAAAACATCATTTGATGGTGATTTCCAAAATGGGAAATACAGTATTAAGCAGCCAAACATGTAAGAAGCAACTTACATAGCACACACAAATCTATGATTCTTCAAAACTGCTATTTGCATGATAACAGATTAAATTCCCTTTTTTCAAAAGTAATAATATCCAGGTGCTTGAGGTATTACCATTTGAAAGGTCACAGAGACTGTCTATAGTTTTTATCAGCAATAACTGACATGATGGAAAAGATATATTTAGATGTTAAATTATCATATCATATATTATGGCCTGGAGCAGAATATCCAGGTCTCATTTCTTATGGAAAAACTACTGCACTATTCCATCCAATTCAACAGGTTATGAAAGTACAAAGTAAGGTCTAAACAAAAGTACATTTCCAGAGAAAATAAAGTCATAAAGTTGTTAGTTACAAGATTATTTAGATTAGTTGTTATAAAATTTTTTACTATGGCACTATATCCAGAAACATTCGTCTCCTTTAAAGGTTGTCTGGAAACTCAGAAGAAATACTCATACATCTAATGCCATTCGTTTATGGTCTTTTATGAAGAAAGCAGCAGTAAGTGAGCCCTTCAAGGATCCTTCCTGCCCTATGCTTCTATAATAGTATTGAACTCTAGCTATAGGATCCTTAGATGAAAAAGGAAGAGAGGGGCCAAATGTCGTAGACCTTTGACCTCTACACCACAAAATATCACCTTAACTTCAGCTTAGTTAAAATGGCACTTGCTTCCTAAATACTTCATAGTTAATTCGATTAAAAATGTTTTTGTTTTTTATGTTTATGTGGGGTACCATTTTAAACAATGCTAAGTAGAGTGCGAAGAAAAATAAATAGTACATGTTTATACATTAAGAGCTTATAATTCAGGAAGAGAGAAGTAAAGGACCCAAAAATTCTATCATTGAGATTTAAAAGAGCAAAGGATCACAGGAAAGTAGAAAAAGGGGATTAGCAAAAGAACAATACAGAAAGGGTCATTTAAATGATGCTATGAAGGATGAACAGGATGTGAAGATTTGGGGCAGGAAACATGACAGCTGAGGAGATATGGGAAAAGTTTAAGAAATTAGTAAAACTCATTTGAAGTACAGTACTGAAATACAGCTTATCTGTAGAATAGCAGAGGAAAAGAAAACTGAAAACAGAGACTGGGGGCTGAGTAGGGAAGATTTAACATGCTTTGCAGAAGGAGAACTGCAAGAATAGTACTTGTCTCATGATGAATGGCAAATAAAAGAATCAGAAATATTACCTAAAAATTCAATACTGAGATGCCTGCAAAAGCCTGTGTGCAACAATTTAGGGCTTATTTTAGACAAATGGATCCATACCTCTCTCTCCCACAAAAAAAGTTATCAGTTCACCACCAAATTATTTATTCACACAACAGGATATGTACACCTCATGTCTCTGTTGTGTTCAGTTCCCTCTGAGGATTAAGAAATTTGCAGGGTTTTTTTTTTTTTTCCAGAACTGGACTAGACAGTGATTTGTGAGTTTTACAATAAGATGGGGAAATTGTACTTGTTCACAAGATCTATCTGGAAAAACAGATAGATTAACAATAAGAAACTATCATATGTTCAGAAACAAATAATTGTCAATAAAAAATTATATGTTCAGAAAAGGTGAGAGGTCATTAGAGAAAAAGACAATGTATAATAAGACAATATTATTTCCCAAAGAAAAAGGTAATGCAGCATTAGACCTATATATACCTATAACCTCTGAAGGGAAGATTCCCTGACAGAATTCTAACAAATCAAATACAAAACAGTTAGAAGGGAGGGAGACACTGGCAGAAGTTAGTGATACTTGCCCCTAATATCTGAGCTATATTCTGAAATAAAATAAAGATAAGGTTTTCCACTGAACTTTTTATGCCAGGTAAGTCATTACATTTTAGGCAGTACATATTTTTATGCTGTTACCATGCCATGAAATAAGACCTAGGCATTTGAAGAGGAGAGAAATGAATATTCCATACCATGATCTTAAATAATATCAAACAGTCCAGTCTCTCACCCCTACTTTTTCAGTGTGTCTCCACTACTCTAGTTAAGTTAAGTCATGGAAAGAGAAGATTTAAGAAAGAGTCAATAAAAAGTTGGCATTCCAGGAATAATCAGAAATAGTCAACAAGTTGGTGGTTATTGCTATCCTTCTTTTACTTAGTCTAGACGAAATTTCCACTAATTTTCTTTCATATTTTCTTAAATAGTGGAGCACTCACTCCTGGGTTTGTTTTTTATCTATAATGCATTTGTTTAATTTTATATTCTTCAGTGACGTATGTTAGAAACTACACAAACTTCGTTATCATTAACAGAATAAACATTCTATGAGATTTTTGAAAGGAGGCATATTTCCTGGTGTAAAGATAATACCTCTTTTTGCTGAGTTGTTTTTTTTTTGTTTTGTTTTGTTTTAATGGTCTTACTATGTACCCAGGCTGGCCTAGAACTCATTATGCTGACAAGGCTGCCTCAAACTTTCCATCTTTCTGCCTCTGCCTCCCCTAGTGCTGGGAGGTATCTACCACCACACCCAGTGAAGAGATTGCTTAAAAAAAAGGCAAACTCAGATCCCAGTGCTGTTTCAGTTTTTCTTCCTTTATGATCTTTTCACTAGATGCCTACTACTACTGCTTTCAACCCTCTCCCCAACTAGAAATAGGTGTAGCCTGCCTAAGGAAATTCCAGCCTTGAGTTTCCTCTTTACTTTCTTTATTTCCTTTCTGCCCAACTAAAGAAAAACTAATACTTCCAAAAAGAAGAAGAAAAAAAAAAACATTTAGGAAATGCAGAAACGTAAGTTATCAAAGTACTAAAAGGTTTCTATTGCTAACTTTACAGACTCAACTTTCATAAGAAGTTTTAACTGTAGGACAAGACATCTTCTCCGATTTCCTTGCCTCCCAGCAATCAGTGTATCATGTTGTCCACTACAATGAAAGTGGTTTTCTTTCTAATTCTACCAGGAAATTTTCATTCGTTAGCTCAAAAAAAAAAAAAATGTACTATATACAAAGTGTACAGTATATATTCAATAATCAACAATTCAGAAAGTTCCCTGCTCTCCTGGAGTCTATTACCTGATAGAAAACCACACAAAGCTGGGGAGTAGTTCACACTTATAATCCTAGCTACTTGGGCTGAGATCAGAAGGATTGAGGTTTGAGGCCAGCCCAAATAAATAGTTCTCAAGAGTCCATCTCCAAAATAACCAGAGCAAAATGGATTGGAGTTGTGGCTCAAGTGGTAGAGCGCCTGGTTTGCAAGTAGGAAGTCCTCAGTTCAAACTCCAGTCCCACGCACACACAAAAAATATATAAATATGCATGCACCTAAATATACATGTGTATCATATATATAAAATGTAAGATGGTGCTACAATAAAAACACAGAGGGATGTGACAGTGACGAGAGTTACTCTTCCTTGAAAAGTCTTCTCTAAGGAAACTGACATTTAAACTGAATCTAAAATGATAAGATGAAGCTAGCCCTCAGGAAAAAAAAACAATGGGAAGAAAGATTCCTGACAGAAAGACAAGTTGGAAAGTGCTTTGTAGGAGATGAAAGTGACCTGATAACAGTATTTTTGAAGACCACTCTGGCTGCTGTGGAAATGACATTGTAGAAACAGAGAGAGTGGTTATAAGGCCTTTGTGGTAGTACAGGTGACAGACAGCTGTGACTTGGATTTGGCTGGTCACAACAGAGACAGAAGACAAAGACTTGAAGTTTATTTTAGGATTTGAATCAGCTATGGCTTGGATGCGGAAGATACAGGAATGAACGAAGTCTCTAAAAGCTTAGTAGCTTTCCCATTTAGTTTTTGATTCCAAGTCAAAAAGAACAATATTTCACCTGACTGATAACTCCATGCTTGTCTACAATAAGACACAATAAATAACTTCACTCTTCAAGCAACACAACTTAAAAGCTGACAAAATGACATCTTCATAATACAATATTCATAATTCATAGAACAACTTTATTAGCCTTTTAACTTACAATTTCTTCAAATAAACCTTCATAGGCAATAATAACTAATAGAGAAGGGAAAGTAAAGAAAAGAAAAAATCAAAGTAATCCTTGGGAAATACCCTACTCCTAACTTAGTGATATTAATCAGAAATCACTCATGAGTCAAAGAGAAAGTATGACTGGGGGCAGGTGGGAAGGGGGGAGAAAGGTGTCTTCTTTTAAAAACAGTTGGAAAACCTATAATTAATTGCAAGGCCTTGTTTCCTAAAGAAAGGTTAAAATAAAAAGAAAATAAGAGACATTTCAGGGACTAGGAGAGTCTCTAGATGGACAGACTAGGGTAATGGGGCCTCAGCAGAGAAATAAAAGACTCAAGAAAAAAACATGTGAGACAGACAAGAAGGAAATCCTAAGAGGAAAGTTATACATTAGAACTATAGGGAAATCAAATATTATATGCACTGCATTTGGCATGTTGCTTTATGCTCATTTAATGTAAAATAGTTCATTTGCCTTTTCTTTGGTGAGTGGGGAGGAGGAGTTAGTTTATTATTGTTTGAGGGGAATGTCCATGACAGTGTTGTTTTTGAAGATTCCAAATTGATAGCTTTTGTAAAATATTACACATTTGAGTGTATCTGGTTATTTACTCATTTAGTTCACATTAACAAATATTTTTAATTCTATATAGCTGATGTGGCATCTTCATTTTTGCATCACATTAGAAAGGGAGAAAAAAAAAAACTCCATTTGT